TGAAGGAAATTATATGGGCTCGGCAACCGGACTTTAGCCGTGCATATTGGAGTAGATGCCTTGGCCTAATGATAATAATAACGACGGCGCTGGTACTTACCTTTGGGTCCCACTCAGGAAGGTCTGCGTTGACGGCGTCTAAGCATTTCCCTACCTGGTGACGATGATGGATGATGAAGACTTACCCTTGGGTCCCACACGGGGAAGCCGAGGTTGACGGCGTCAGGCTGCTTCAGCAACACCGGCTGCGGCCACTTCCACTGGCTGAAGACCAGGAAGAACTTGTGCACGAGGGTCGCGGGTAACGCGTTGGGGTATAGTTGGCACGTGCGAGCGACCAGCATGGCCCACGATACGCCGCCGAGGTAAAGTCCGATCGCCGAGATAGAATTTCGTCCAATGACCCCAAGCTACCCATCCTTATCACTCGCGCGTAATTATATTGCTGTCGCGCTCGCACTCACTGCGGCCGCCCGTCGCACAGTCGCTTGGGGTCATTGAACGAAATTATATGGGCACGGCAACCGGACTTCAGCCGTGCATGTTGGAGTAGATGCCTTGGCCCGATGACAATGATGACGGCTCTGGTACTTACCCTTGGGTCCCAGACGGGAAAGCCTAGGTTGACGGCGTCTTATTACCAGCAACAACTGCGGCCATTTCTGGTGACGATGATGGATGATGAAGACTTACCCTTGGGTCCCACACGGGGAAGCCGAGGTTGACGGCGTCAGGCTGCTTCAGCAACACCGGCTGCGGCCACTTCCACTGGCTGAAGACCAGGAAGAACTTGTGCACGAGGGTAGCGGGTAGCGCGTTGGGGTATAGTTGGCACGTGCGAGCGACCAGCATGGCCCACGACACGCCGCCGAGGTAGAATCCGGTCGCCGAGCACATATAATTTCGTCCAATGACCCCAAGCTACCCATCCTTATGAAAAAGAGACTGACAATAGTGACTGAGTTTCTTGCGCTGCTTGTTCTCAGCACTGGCCCATTTATTGTCTTGAAGCAGTGGTAGGGTTAATACTGGGACGTGTAAAAGTGCTTTTTTAAAGCCTATTTACAGAAATAAATGAGTTTTAAGTTTTTAACTCGCGCGTAATTATATTGCTGTCGCGCTCGCACTCACTGCGGCCGCCCGTCGCAGTCGCTTGGGGTCATTGAACGAAATTATATGGGCTCGGCGACCGGACTTCAGCCGTGCATGTTGGAGTAGATGACTTGGCCCGATGACAATGATGACGGCTCTGGTACTTACCCTTGGGTCCCAGACGGGAAAGCCTAGGTTGATGGCGTCCAATCACTTCAGCAATTTTCCTAGCTAGTGAAGATGATGGATGAAGACTTACCCTTGGGTCCCACACGGGGAAGCCGAGGTTGACGGCGTCAGGCTGCTTCAGCAACACCGGCTGCGGCCACTTCCACTGGCTGAAGACCAGGAAGAACTTGTGTACGAGGGTCGCGGGCAGCGCGTTGGGGTATAGTTGGCACGTGCGAGCCACCAGCATGGCCCACGACACGCCGCCGAGGTAGCCGAGCGTGTTGGAGTAGATGCCGTGGCCTGATGGAGAGATAGGGAAATAAATATTTTGAAATAACTTGAAAAAATCGAACTGCTTAAGGCGGGAACCGAACCCACGACCTTTCGCTTGCCGGGCGACTGCTCTTCCAACTGAGCTACTTAAGACACTAAATGAACCCGTCGAAATTTTAAATGTAAATTTTTAATACGCTGTTATGACCGCTTTAGTTTGAGAAGCGACTCTTATCGCTAAGAAATTTTGAATAAATGTAAGTTCTAACATTTGAGGCAGTTTTTACACAAAAACTAACTGAGCAAAGCTTGTATCTTAAAAGTGCTAGATGTACGATATAAATCAGATTTTTTAATAAGGTCCCCTGCGCTTGGACAACCTGTAGACTAGAGACTTCAGTCAGCTTTTAATTTGTATGAAGAATCGACCGATACCAAATTGGTATAATGTGCGCACTTTTATACATGTGGCAGTTGAAATAGCTAATGTCTGTTGGAGCAAAAAAGTTATTGAGTAACCAAAAATCTTAGTCAAGTGTAGATAGTCCTCTCACTCGATTCACCAACGATCTGGTGAAAGTCGCGGGAAGCACCTGGATGCGGTCAATGCAAAACCAGAAATCCTTGTTGGGTTTGTTGGCTTTTAGTTGAAACGAACGAACGAACACAAATAGATAGAAAGTATACTCAACATCAAATAAATCGCACCTTCCGCGACGCGAACTTTAAAGATTTTCTTCTGACACAATCATAGTGCCCCAACAATATTGGTGTTATTTGAAAGCCCAATAAATAAACTTCAAGAAAAACACATTTAATTTTTTTATAAACAATTAACAGGTACCATAAATGTGACTTGAAAAAAGGCCTCACTTTGGGCTCACCTCTGGGATCAATTAGACCAGTTTTTGTGGTTATAGAACCAAATAATGATCTTACGTGTCCTTTTTAACAGATAGATAGCGATTAATCCCAATTTAACAGTTTTATAGCCATAAAAGTTGACTCAAACGTAACTACCTATTTTTTGAAAAAGTGACTCTGGACCCTTCTAAAAACACATTTTTGGGATAAAAACCTTTCCTTTAATGAAATGAAGGTTAGAACTAGGCTTTCAAATGCAACCAATGTTGGTGGGAAGTGGGGATGCATACGTTTGAGAAGTGCTTGTCGCGGGAGTTGCGATTTATTTGATGCCGAGTGTATTTACGCTCGGGTTGTATGTCTCAAAACTGGTTACAGTTACATGATAGCACAGTGTACAAACTACAAATCGCACCCTTAATAATGAATGGGCACAACTCCAAAATTAAGTTTTTTGGGAAAAGCCAAAAAACCAATCGGCGGATCGCGGTTTTTTACATAATTGGCTCTAAAATCTTTATTTTATCAGCTACAACTTTCAAACTAAGCATACTTCATCACTGGTATCTGTTATATAATTTGACATAAGACATTTTTGAAAATATTGATTATGAGTATTTAAAAAAATTGTTTAAAAAAATATTTCAAAGTTAGGCCTTTATTTTACTATTTCTGTTGTTGTGATTTTGGGTATTACTTGTACTTGTGCCCATCTAATCCTTAGGCTGAATTGTTTTATATGGCATATTCCCTAATATTGCTCTCTAATATTTAAAAATAAGTGTATTTCGATTTTTATATTGATTTACGCCCAATAACATTGGGGACAGTTATTGTGCGTTATAGTAGCTTAAAGCCAATTCAGTATAAGAGTAGGGTGCTGAATACTAGAAAATTATTAGATATGTCGAATTAGATTAAAATAAAGACTATTAGCTATTTCTCTGAGAAAACCGACATGAAAATACTAATTTTATGCGTTCAAAATATTTTTACTAAGATAGATAGGGACTCTTACCCTATAAAAAATATGCTTTTCATCAAATAAAGAAAAAACCTACAAAAACTTTTTCTGTAAGGTTTTCTGTTATGGATTTGTTCAGGATAATCACTTATTAAAGTCCAACAGCCAGTACCTTGGTATCTTTTTTCCACTATCCTGCTGTCCTGGTGGAAGGAACCGTTCTCCTTGTCCCTTACTATAATCACCCACATTATGTGGGAATCAGTTCAAATGGCTATTGTAAAAAATACAATTTAATACTCAAATTGGCGTGTGTAATTTTTGAAGGATTTTAGCAACCAATTTTGAACACAAGAATATCTATTCTGGTGTTCTAACATTCCCCAAAAAATATTTTACTACTAAAGCACCTTAGCCATGCTTCAGATTCAATTTGTGTTATATGGTTTACAAATACAGTCTTTTATAAGAGCACGGATTTGCAGTCCATCGAAGATAGCTGCTTTTAATTTTTCCGTACTCATCATCATTTTGCTTTTGATCATTTTAGTGATTAGAAAGCTCAATACATATCTTTGGCCCTCCAAATAGAAGCCCTTTACGTCCTGCTTGACTTCAGTATTGCAAAGAGTCTAGGTACACAAGGTTTACGACGATATTGGACACCCAATATTTATTATTTTGTACAATTTTTATCCCAGAGTATGCTTGGTTTGTTATCACAAACTCCGTGATCTTTTTTCTTTGCTTTTGTGTACAATATTTGCCACATATTAATAAAAACTGGTGTTAACACAAGATTACATTACGAACTCACATTTTTAAGACAAAAAGCACTTTAGAACTTAAATTTAGACAAACTGAAAATTTTAAGGTCTAATAGCTGATCAGTAAAATTGTAGTAACTTAATACGTGAAAAGAGAATTTTAAAATAAATTCGATGTATTCTCAGTCCTCAGAATCTGAGTGATTAATTAGCATCAATTTATGTGACCGTAATAAATTAATGAATAATATAATTAAAAATTGTAACACTATCATATTAAAGTAATTCACCTTTTGGCTGACTAGTGCGTTTATTCATAAAATAAACAAAGAAAAAAGCCAACCCGAGCCCCGAGCGAACGTTAATAGCCTTAACACGTAGGTATGTCTCTTATTTTATTAATCATTAGTTTATTTGTCGGGAAGTATTTCATAACCACCGCTTTATTTCTTAGCATCGCGATAAAACATCCTATAGGCTCCCAATCAACCAATAGGTATGAAAATTAATACCAAGAAGCAAATTACTTTTATAGGAGAGTTCTAAATTTAACTACAAACACCCATCCATGGTCCGCCTAACTAAAGTTAAAGTTATATTTTATTATTTTCTATGAATAACTTTATCAGTGTAATAAAAAAGGGACTTTATCAATGTAATAAAAATGAAAATGTAACATATTATTAGAAATATAAGGAATTAATTAGTCTTAGCTCACTAACACTTACTTAAAAATTGTCACACAAAGGCACAACTCCAAATTGGACCACAGTCGCGTGGGCCGGATTCGACAAATATCGGCATGTCTCTGATTCAGCCCTTCTAGCGGGAAGATAGACGAAAGTATGGAAGGGNTAGACATCCGCCGCGTGTTGTATCTAGCGCAGACAAGAATTATTTCTTAGTCAGCGCCAGAGCAATGTACTCGGTTCGTGTCGAGCTGTTACTGTGCTAGGTCTAGCAGCGTAAACTGCTGGAGCAGTTACTCTGCCCGGTGCATAGCGTCGCGCGCGTTCTACTCAAGCGCCCGCCGCCGCGCCCGTGCCCGTTCATGAGCTTAGTGTCGCGCTACAACACCACGTGCTCGCACTGCAGGCCACACAAGAGGACAGCAGCTGAGGGTCACTATCATGGTAAGTGACAGAGACTAAGGCCGGCAATACACGGACCGCTTGAAACAGTCAGGGTCGACAGCTTCAAGCTGCGACTGCACAGTGAACTGCAGAGTTCTATGGACGCACATACACGAACCGCTCGAGCAGTTGCAACTGATTCGGGCGGTCGACAGCACGGTGAATTTTCATCGTGCGGTCAAGCAGTCGCCAGCCATACACTGACTGCTCGAGCTGTCGACAGCTTTTGCGCAGTTAGCTCCGCCCACTTTCTTCATTCCACGGCGCGCGCGCTTGAGATTTGTTGAGCAGTTAATACCAACTGCTCGAGCAGTTGTCACTGGCAGCTTCAAGCTGTTGGCTAAGACCAGCCATACACAGACTGCTCGAGTAGTTACTTTGCCAGGTGCATCTAGCAGACCACAAGCGTTGCGCCAACGCGCGCTTCAAGCCACGCTGAAGGACAGCAGCTGAGGGTCACTATCATGGTAAGTGACGGAGGCTAACTGATTAAGACCCGCCATTCATACACAAACTGCTCGAGTAGTTACTTTGCCAGGTGCATATAAAGCCCGGTCCGTGAGCACGTAGAATTTTGTCCAATAACCCCAAGCTACCCATCCTTATCGCTCGCGCGTAATTATATTGCTGTCGCGACTGTGCGACGGGCGCCCGCAGTGAGTGTGCGAGCGCGATAGCATCATAATTAGGCGCGAGCGATAAGGATGGGTAGCTTATAACGGACCAGACTATAGCAGCCCACAAGCGTTGCGCCCACGCGCGCTTCAAGCCACGCTGAAGGACAGCAGCTGAGGGTCACTATCAATGGTAAGTGTTACAGCGATATAGTGAGTTTTACGGCGACTAAGACCAGCCATTTCATTTCAGTTCCATTTCACCACGCTAGCGCTGCAGGCCACGCTGGACAGCAGCTGAGGGTCACTATCATGGTAAGTGATAGAGACTAAGACCAGCCATACACAGACTGCTCGACATTGGCGTGTCTAGGCTTCTTTTTCCCCTGACATTCCATGTCACGGGGGGGTGTGACTAGATTCTAAGCTCATGGTTAGTACTAGCACCTACATCTTCAAATTGGTAGCCCAACATCCTAGGGACGAAGACAGCAGCTGATGGTGGCCTCAACAGTGGTAAGTGATAATAGGATGAATGACGGCGGCCATTGATTTAAATAACCGACACCGGCTCGACGCCGGACCGGGTGTATTGCCTCAATCATGGTAGTGTTATATAAGACGCGCCCCACCAATTTTTTGTCGAGGGAAGCGAGGGGTGCGGGGAGTTTGATCCGAGCAATCCGAGCGGCATTATTGTAGTGTGCGTGTGCACTCATGGATCATTTAGCGTGTCAAACATTAGCAGAAGAATGGTGGGGCGCGTCTTCGTGGATGAAACGATCTATATATAGGAGGGATGATTTGTTTCGGCCAACCCAGCGAGGAGTGTGATATCCTCTATTTGACTGTAAATAATTAGCTTGTGGCTGTCGTAAAAGGTTTCCCAAACTATCTGGCCAGTGTGGGAGGTAGTCAAATCCTCCATTTGCCTCTGGTCGTGCTCCTGTAGTAGACTAATTAATAACCTGATGATGAAATTAGAGTCATGTAAATAAATAGCCTACCCATTCACTTGTGTCACTGTTGTATGTCTAAACGATTCAAACATGTTTTTTGTTTCAGGTATTTATTGTGGATCTTGTTATACAGTATTGAATTTGACCAATCTCATGATTTTAATTAGATAGTCTAATTTATTATTTTATAAGTATTATTAACATGAAAATAAACTTATTTTGAAGCTTACGTGTGTTTCCATTATTCTGATGCAATTTATTGTAAGAGAAAACTGTTATATGACTAGTATGAGTGAGTTTTTCAATGCTTTAGATTAGAAAATGTGAAAACCCAGAAAGGTTAACTAATGAGTTGTTTATAATGTCTTTGTACTTTATAGTGTGTGTGAATTGTGTGTGGTTTCAATCTATGCTTAAAATTGAATGGGATCAATGTTGTGAGCTGTGTAATACCTGAAAATGTAAAGAGTGCAAGGAATTAACAATCTAGAAATGAAACAATATGTTTTGTATATACATTTATTTCGCTTTTTTTTTTTCAAATTTTAATATTTTTTCCAGATATATATCTCCATATATAATAATCAATTGGCTATCGTTATATACAACTTACAATAGAGAAGGTCCTTATCATCAACTACATTGAGTCTTATATCTAGGTGGAATCATTTCGTTATATCTAAGTAAAAGTGCGGGTACCTACCGAATATTATCCGGGAAATATAAGCAAAGGATACCCTGAATTGTTTTAATCAAAAGCAGAAGACATTTGCATATTTTTAATAAAAATACTATGCAAATCATGGGTAACAGGTATTACTTGACAACTTTAATATCATGGTCAATGTAGAAGAGATTAGGCAGTTAGTTTTTCGTTTGAAATTGAAGATGGCTAAAATTAAATGCAATAAGAAAGGAAGACAGATAATATTATGCTAGTTTAGGAAAATTTTACATACAGCTTTTGAAAAATTAACATTTAATACAGACAACATCAATTTATTTCATGGAAGATGATTGTGTTTGCATTTTTTATGTATGATGATGGTAATTTAGTAATTTTAGTATATATCTACAAGGAATTGTTAGTTATGAAACTGTTATGAAAGTGTGATAAGGACAACACAAAAAATATCACAAATATTGTAATCTTCAAACGGCTAAACCGATTTTGATAATAATTTTGGGAGATCCATAAATAAGTTGTCAAGTAATACCTATGCAACAAAGAGAGTGAGTCATTGGAAATTATAAATGACACCTTTCACAATGACGTAGAGATAGCCGATAGAAAATGCGAAATAAACGATACAACAAACCTACCGTATATTCCAATAATTTACAATATCAACAAGTATCTAAGTACACATCGCACTTTGTAAGAGGTGTATTTATAGTTTTTATAAAATAATAATGGATTTCTTCCACTTTGTACTATCTAATCGTTTGCAAGGAGTTACTATTTAAAATTGAACTATTTCATGAATTAATACAGATATCACAGTTTTGATTACATCAGCGCTTCTGTCCATCGCATTGTTAATTTGTTCTCCAGTTAATGAGTTATCAGTCGTCTATAGTCTGGTCTGCAAGCACGTAGAATTTTGTCCAATGACCCCAAGATTAAATTCTACGTGCTCACAGACCGGGTAGTTAAAACTAAATTTGTTCAATATGGGTATTGTTTTAAAGGTTAAAATGTGCATGTTTGTTACTGTATTTAAGCGGAGCATTTAATTAGTACCCTTGCAAACGACAGTGTTTTGTGTAAACCAACTTACTTGTTGCCGCCGTCGTCCGCCAGAAATCTGCAAGCAAAGACCGACCAACTTAAAGAATAGCGGACCCCGCTATTGTCAAACATCGAAAACAACACCTAGAAACATATTTTTTTAAATTTTTCATCAAAATGCATCCACTATTCTAATGCATTCAAAACTTACGTAGCCACGATGCCGATCGTCGTCCCGAGACATCTAGAGAATATGAATTTAAATAAAATATATATTTTTACTTATAAAATTTAAAGTCAGACATTGCTTACAATTTAAATTATAGACGTAGATTATCCTAGAGAAGTTTATCTGACCTAAACTATCTTCAGTGGGTCAAAATGCTTGTTATCGTTGAAATATCTACACAACCCATAGGTGTATTTTGTAAATGTTACACCCATTAATTTTTACCAATTTTCTTGTTGAACCAGATGGTAGACCTATAAGTTTGTCTCATTAAAAGCTAAACCTGCATAAAATAGTGTTTTTCGACAAACTTTAGTGTAAAAAGTCCACCATCATCTACATTGATGATTTCAAGACAAATAGATGAATAAACAACATTGAGAATATTGCTAACATATAGAATTACTTGTGAAAATTACTACATCCTGTTGGCCCGAAACCCACCCAGGATTCCCATTGGTAATTTGACATTTTTATAAACCAATAGGTAAAGACTGAAAATATCAAATTACTAACTTGTTTAAAAATCTTCAGTAAAGGTAAACCTACAACGCCATGGTGGCAATTCACGACGTCGCATTGCTTCACTTATAATCAAAACCGTTACCACCTCTTACTTACCAATGAATAAATTCGATGCACTGCGGTAAGTAAGATCACATCCAATAGAGTTCACTAACACAAGTCACTTTCACACGTTCGCAAAGTCCACAATTGCTTGGCTTGCTAACGGACTCCTAGCACTATGTACAAGAGATCCGCACACCCGTCTTTATCCAGACTGCACATTTCCCACACAAATTGGGGTTTTATTTCAAGTCATCATGGTTAAAAATCAACTGGCAATATTTGTCTTCCACGCCTAGTCATTTTAAAAAGATATGGCTAGGCTCACTCCAATCTCAATTGATCATTATTTACAGTAAGATTAGAGTCGACCAATGGCTTGTAGCTCAAAATCAGCCATAACTGCAGACCAAATTCAAATTGCTTCAATCGCAGGTTTTCATTGAGTACATTCTACCTGCGATATCCATTGCCAAAATAATCAAAAAAGTTCATAACGATTCGGCTTTGACCGGCCTTATTTCACTTTCAGCCTCAAAAGGTCCACTTTACAACACGATCACTTCACTTTAGTTTATATCACGAGCAGCGAGCGTTCACAGCCGCTTGGCGGTGCCGTAGATGAAGCGCGTCCGCCATTGCTCGTAGTGCTACGTGCAAGCGATTGAAGCGGATGTGGAAGGCTCCTTGTCTTTGTCGGCGGCGTGCGCGGGCGCGGTCCCGTTCTGGATGTTGACCTCGTACATGTTGGACGAGTTTGAGTCTTCGTTGTAGGACAGGATGCTGACTTCGTCCGTCTGGGAAGGAGGAGAAATAAATCAGTATGCTTATAAGTAAACATAACTCCAAGGAGACTTGTTTAGAAGCTTTTTTTAACTCCAATTAAAAATGAAAAAATCTACTTTTTCCAGATTATCTGGTGGGTGGTGGGTTCCCTAAACCCATTTTGATATGTTTGGGTGATTGATCCAGACACCCTGTATAATATGTGTGTAAATACTTTATTAAACCTTTGAAAAAGAGGCTGGCAATAGTGACAAGTTTCTTGCGCTTCTTGGCAGTACTAGCACACATTATTATCCTGAAGCAGTGGTCAGGATTGAAGAGATATGTAAAATGCTTTTATAAGTCTTATTGCAAAAAATAATAATGACTTTCTGACTCGTAATGACATTCTTCCATAAATGTCGTAAGACGCGACTAAGGGACAAATATGTGAACATCAGGCCTTCCCAACCTGTCTAGCCCGTATGGGAGAGAATAAGTGTGGGCCAAATCCTCCATTTGCCTCTAGTACTCAAGGTTGTGCTTCTGCAGTGGAGACTAAAAGACCTCACGAAGATGAGTTTCAACAACAGTAAGCGTACCTTAATTTCGAACTCCTATGTTCTTCTGATTAAATTCGTTGGCGGCCAGTTGCGGACAGTTTAACTTTCCCCCGGGACAAACTTCATTGGTTGGGTTTATGGCGGTCAAGCTGTAGATCCTAACTACACAGGAGTTGCAGTGGTGGGAACGAGAGGTGGGAATAGTCCCGAACAGTAAGTGTACTCACGCTGCTCTCAGACAATCTCTTGTGCTTCTTAGTGGGAGCGGGGCGCGCGTCTGGCAGGCGGCGCTTGTTGCCCGACGCGGTGCGCTCGCGCTTAAGAAGCGACGCGGACAGATACTGAGGCAGCTGCTTGCGCCGCACGTGCCGAGCCTGTGGAGAGAAAACAACGTTAGATCATTTGCTAAGTGGGCAAGTAAGAGCCTTTAGGGGCCTTCGGGATATAGACATAGTGTCATAATCAGTGGCGGCGTAGCATGGGTCATGGGTTAGCACCCGGGGCGATCCCCCCCTGGTCTGGTGCCCCCCAGGATTTATGGGTTACCGATTTGAAGATGAACGATGTTAGATGACTCTGCTCATAAGGTAACCCCACAAAAAGAAGTCTGCTGGAATGAGATTAGCGCTTCTTAGAGGCAGTGAGATTTCACCCCTGCTTAATTGGTTTGTTGCATTAAAAGGATGATTAATTTTTGAGAGCGCTATACTAGTAGGCTGAAAAGCTTTTTGATTTCAAAGCTGCAAGATTCGCAAGGCTATAACCGGGGCACTTGGTTTCATCAAGATGGGGCTACGTGCCACACTTCAAATGAGAGCATTTAGATGGTAAGAGACATGTTCCCACAAAAAAATAATTTCAGGCAGGGGTGACATCTCCTGGCCCCCAGGAAGTCCTGATCTCATTCCAGAAAATTCTTTTTTGTGGTGTTACATTAAGAATAGAGTGTACTTTTATAATCCAACAACCATGCAGCAACTGAAGCTGAGCATTCGGCAAAAAATTTAAAATAGATTTCGAGGTAATTCTAACGAACGCATTTCAACATTTTGATGTATGTTGATCGAATGTTGTAAGCGTCAGGGAAATCTCCTGGGGGATGTAATTTAATAAAGGTATATTTAAAAATAAATTGCATTAAATTTCCTTTAAATTGCAATATTTAAAGTTCTATAAAAATGTACAGTTTTCGTTTCCTTGAATTTTCAAAAGTGAACTTTCTTCTGGGCCACCCTGTACAATAAAATGGCGTAATGGCAGATCTAGTGTTACATTTGACAAGGGACACCGATAACCCAGGATATATCCAGGTAACACTTACCTCGATGGTCATTCCGGCGCGCAACATGCTGTTATGGTCGGCCTGGTAGTGCACGGCCTTGGTGAACGACGAGATGTCGTAGGTCAGGTCCACCGTCACACTAGTCTTCTCGAACACCAGCCCGATGAACCACATGGAACAGAGGTTGGGTATCCTCTCGCCCTGGAAACGAGATATGGGTTAGTTTGTGGCGGGCTTTTCTTACCAAAAAAAAGGGGAAAATTTTGCATTTAGCAATATGGCAGTAGCAGTAATACAGTCTCAATATCTACAACATAACTTCACACAAATATATGTTAACTCAGATAATTAAATACACTACACGGTTTTACTTTAGAAACATGAAGATGATCAAAAATAATTCCTAAATAGTAGTCCAAGTTTCGTCAATTCATAATTTTGAAAAAAAGACGTCAAATGTGGAACAAAAACTCATAAAAATTAAAAAAACTTATTTTTATTCTAATCTAAACAATTGATATAAATCAGTGGTGGCCAACCGGTCGATCGTGGTAAGGCAAAAATTATTGTACACTAAACTATGCTGTTTCATTTAAGGTTTTAAGAAGTATGTAAGTGGTAGATCGCCGTGGGTTTTGTTAGTAAACAGTAGATCATATGTCCAATCAAGTTGGCCACCCCTGTTATAAATGGACAAGCTGAAAACCGTAACGGACTGAATTTACTAGAATATATTACTATTATGTAAAAACAAATGCAAGATTCCACTTACGTTGTCATCATTGCTGATCTCCGTAGCAGGATCCGTAGACACTGTCGAGCCTGCGAGCAAAAATGGACGTTAGCAATGCTGTTAGGCACATTGAAATCGAACCTTATGCTGTATATTATAGAGCAGTGTTTTTAGTCAGTATAGAGGGGGTCGCGAGAGGTCGTAAAAACTACCTTAGGTAAAAAAACCAGTAAAGTTATAAAGATAGATTTATACGAAATCTAAATGCAAATGCATAAATGTTGTATGGATTGAAGTATTCGGTCCCTACAACATCTTTGTAACAGTATAAAATGTATGAAAATAAAAGCAAACGGTAGCGGTAACCGGATGGTCTCAAAATATTTTTTCATACTAGGTGTCGTGTCATGAAAAAGGTTGAAAAATACTGTAATAGAGTGTACTATCCGTTCGCTTTAAGTTTGCCGCTGGCGATATGACGTCACTCGAAGAAAAGCGTCTAATCAAACTACATATATTTAAAACTAGCTGACCCGGCGAACTTTGTTCCGCCTTAATGGCAATAAATAAGCAGACTTTTTTTTTAATTTCGATCGGGATAAAAAGTATCCTATGTCCTTCTCCTGGCTCTAAACTACCTCCCTGACAATTTTCAGCTAAATCGGTTCAGCCGTTCTTGAGTTATAAGTGGAGTAACTAACACGACTTTCTTTTATATATATAGATATTTTTTATTTATTATTATTGATNTGGAAGGGGCACAAAATGTAGAACTCTTGTATCTGATCATTATTTTCGATTTCTGTGAAAGCCATCTTGTAGAACATACGAAAATGTGCCTCTCTAGTACAAAAAGTAAAAAACCAAAAATTTTGAGTTGTGCCCCTATATTATTAAGGGTGCGAAATGTAATCACACTCACGTTTAGCCCACAACTTGATGGCTCGCAGCGTCAGCCTAAAATTGTTGATGTTGGGCACGAGGCGAAGTATCTCATCGGTGACGCGGCATCCGTTGAGCGAGCGCACGCATTTCTGGTCCAGATTCTTGAGCAGCATATCGTCGCGGAGGTCGAAGGAATCTGGGGGAAGAACATTGGTTAGGTTCCTAATGGTGGTCTTTATAATGTCATCATCTATATCCAACCAACTTCAGTGCAAGAACACAACCCTCTCCTATTTACCAAATTTATGATTGGGCCTACCCCCCGCATATACAGGGTGGAATTTTGTAATGCCACCTGGAGGGAAAGTACTCTTAATACTGTAGATATAAAATTTTACTCAAAGAAAACATTCCTTTATTTTTGAAAAGAAAGTGAACTGCATTCAAACTTTTTCGATATACCATTCATACCATACAGTTTTCTGTACTCAGTTTCAGTTTATCATTAACTAGCTGACCCGGCGAACTTTGTTCCGCCTTAATGGCAATAAATAACGGGATAAAAAGTATCCTATGTCCTTCCCCTGGCTCTAAACTACCTCCCTGACAATTTTCAGCTAAATCGGTTAAGCCGTTCTTGAGTTATAAGTGGAGTAACTAACACGACTTTCTTTTATATAATAGATTAAAATAATTTAAGATTTCATGGTTTTCCTTTCATTTGATTTATCAATTTTGTTAGAGAGATTTCATCCTTATACTTAATCCTAACGATCGATGTAATAAAATATACAGGGTGTAATTTTTAACAGATTTTAGTTGGTTCGATTCCCGGGTGTGGCAAGCAAATTTTTGGAAATCTTTGAATGTAGTTCTATTTCTTTTCAAAAATAAAGGAATGTTTTCTTTGCGAAAAATGTTCTATCTACAATATTAAGAGTACTTTCCCTCCAGGTGGCATTACAAAATTCCACCCTGTATAAGCTGGCCAAATGGGTTAGGGACGACTGAAGGCAATATATTTATAACTAGATTTTAATCTACCTATTAATAATAATAAATATCCCTGGACATTTTAATCTACCTACCTAAATAACCTACTTTTAATCTTAATTTATACAGAGTGACCCATTAGTGGATGATCATACAAAAAAGGATTTATTCTACTGCTCAAATCCAACAACATTTCCCCAGAGAAAGAAGTTTAAATCTTACGAAATAAAATTTTCATACAAATTGTCATCAGTAATCAGGGGACTCCCAATTTTTATTTTTGACAATTGGATACTGTAGATACTTTACTTTTTAAATACTGTGAAATAACCTAAACGCGTTGTCATCATGCCAATAAATGTTAACAAACATAAAATAGGTGTGCTAGTGACCGAAATGGAAATGTTTAGCTCGTGACCTGGATTTCAACATAAAAATGCCAATTTTTACTGACTACTTTGACAAACCGAATAAGTATTGGCATACCTAATTTAAAAGTATTTTTACGTATCTAAGAGAGATTCACTTATTTTCAGACTAGCTTTAAAAACACTAATTTAAGTATCTTTAACAATTTACTTACCAGGTATCTCCTTCAGCGCCAGTCGCGCGAAAAGCAAATCTATCTCAATGCCGTCGAAGTTCATTTTAATTACCGGCACGAAGGCGTCTTCCACCGCTCGCAAGTCTTTGACCTGTAGGACGAATAGATAACATTAGTAATTCGTGCACTACAAAATGAAGAAAGAAAAGTCAGCAGGGAGACGCGAAAAGCTTAGCCGGCGATGAGAAGATGTTCGACCGCTAGACACAGTTACATACTTCTAAACACGATTTTCCTATGACACATAAGTATTTAATTTACTGTAAAACCAGGCTTCAATGAAGAAGATAAAACCACTTAATTAAATTTGGCATTTATGAACGTCAAAATGTAATATCTTTTGAGTCCTAAAATCTCTTGGAGACAAAATTAAGTGAAATGTTGAAAGAAAAGCGACAGAATCTCAGGTCACCCGGTGCAAAAAACAGCACAGCAATAAATTAACCCTTCAAGAATCCGCGACTCCAGGCAATAGGGATGCTTCCTGGGTGAAAAAGCACCTAAGTTTGAATTAGTCTGTCGGTTAACTTATTAAAAAATACTCGACACGTATTTTTAACTTTTTCAAACTAATGAAAATTGAGAGGTAAAAAGAGCGTCAAAGTTCAAACGAAGAGGCCGGTGACGTCAAGGCGTGCTTAAAGTGTAGCACATTGTGACGTCACGCGGAACTTCAACGCATCATAAGTCATAACTTCGTAATTACTTGTTAGATTGACTAATAAAAATAAAAGTGTCCAATATTTTTTGATAATGTAATATAATGTAATTGACGGAATAAAAGTAATATTTAAGGAAACCAGCCTATTATTACTAGTGCGGTCTCATGCGACCGCTTAGGGTTTGATGGGTGCAAACTGAACTCGAGAGATGACTTACCTGCGGCTGCTGCTTCAGCAGTTCGTAGAAGGACTGGAAGTAGTCGGTGCGGTCGATGTGGCGCGGCGCCACGCACAGCGCGTCAATATCGGCGCCGCGGTGATGCACCTGGGAATAAAACGGCGATTGTGAGACATCGATTGAGTATCGATTAATAACAAAATAATAAATCTATATGTACAACTCTTTATCAGGTCGTCGGTCCACCTTATGGATGGACGTCCCACGCTGCGTTTTCCGGTACGCGGCCTCCATTCCAGAACCTTGCTGCCCAATCAGCCGTCAGTTCTGCGTACTATGTGCCCTGCCCACTGCCACTTCAGCTTGCTAATCCGTTAGGTAGCAGGAAGGCGCTGGATGCAGGCCGCTACCAACCGTGCGATGTGGAAGTCATTGGGGGAGGCCTATGTTCAGCAGTGGACGTCGTTAACTCAAAGGTGANACCGGCAATCTTAGCGCGAACGAACACTGTTATAGTGTATCTAGGGGTCGTGTCATGAAAAAGGTTGAAAAACACTGTTATAGTGTATTCACCTGGTGGTAAGGCCATCGGCTGTCCGTCGTTGGTGTTCAAGGGCACGCTGGTGTAGCATTCCGGGTTGACGTGCGCGATGGTGATGTGTTGGTTGCGCTCCAGCGTAGCTGTGGACAAAGGAACGAGTTAATATCGACCATAGCAACTCATTTTATAAGTGTGTGTCAAATTATTTTGCAGTGCTATTCAAGTAGCCATCTCCATTCTCTAAGTTAGGATCACAGGAAACTCGAGACAATCCTCAATAAAAAAAAAATCAGAGTCTGTTGACTTTTTTTTGGGCATAAATGGTCACTGGAATGGTTACAAACTTTCTACATTGCGATTTAACATTATCTACAGATGGATGGACTGGTTCCCAAAGTGGGGGGGCGCAAAGACCTTTTAAGGGAGGCGCGGGCCATCTCTAAGAAACCTGCGACCGCCGAGAGAATGCATTTCAGACTGCTCGATACGACCAATAAATAATCTTGACTGGAGGAGGGGGGGCGCGGAATTTTTTGTATGGTCGAAAGCGGGCGCGTCTCAAATAAGTTTGGAAACTAATGGATTAGATAGATAAATGTAGAAAGTAATGTATAGAAACACTAAGTGGAAAAAATCTAACATTAACAACCCAGTAGGTTAGATATTAGTCCTCATGTAAATGTCATAATTACATGGTTGTCCAATGTGGCTTTTTTGTTCAACAAAGCTGGGACGGTTCAGTGTTGGACATCTATATTGTGTTTATGAGCGCTCCTGTTTGCGTATAGTGTGCGTATCTTATGTGTGGGTGTGTGTACTCACTGATGAGATGTCGGATCTTGCTCTCGATCAGTCCGCACCACTGCAGCTGGTCGTCGGAGGAGGCGGCGGCGGCGAGCAGCACTATAAAGTGCTTGTACCGCGAGAAGAAGTTGGGCGCTTCGAACAGACGCTCCCAGCCGCACTTGTTCAGCATTATCTCGTCCGTGATGGCCAGCCCTGGGGAAAGATGCGTTTTAGTTTCAAATTGTATTTATTGTGAGTGTTATACGTTGTGATAGTCAAGCCTTTATTGCATACAATTGTTTAATGAGTGTAGGCTAAATCCTACATTTGCCTCTGATTAATTGGAGAGTGACCAAAGTAAGAAGAACTCAATCCGAGTTCTTACTTATTGTCCTAAGTGGTAGGGTTAAAGTTATACTGGAACATGTAAAAGTGCTTAGTACAAGCCTATTTCGAGAAAATAAATTAACTTTACACATTGAGAGCAACACTTCCTTAAACTAAATGACCTGATAAGTAGATTAGTCACTGAACCGGGTCTAAAGAAAAAAAAAGACTGGTTGGGTTATTGCCAGTCAAACTGTAGATCCTGGCTACACAGGAGTTAGAGCGATGGGAACGAGAGTTGAGAATAGTTCAATAGCCAGACGGGTTGGGCAGGCTTGACGGTCGCATATTTGTGTAGTCAATAACATGTACATATCAATAAATGGACCAGTACTGAGAAGCAGCTTAAATTATCTTGGTTTCTTAGACGCAGGCACTCACCAAGCCGGAACTCCTCCATGATGACGGTCCTTGTAGAAGCTGACACGTTGAAGGTGGAATTCTGCTGCGGGTAGGCGGGCGTTATGATCGGCATCAGGTGGAAGCGGTCCGCTACGTTCACCTGTGTACAAACAAAGATATGTTTTAGACTTCAGTGTAAATAAGTTTTAGAAAGACTATACTATAGATAGAAGGTTCTAAGAAATAAGTTAGTGGCATATGTGTAATACTAGTGACCAGCGACACTCAATACACCACTTCATTTTTATCACCGAAAAAAAAAACTGGGTAATGAGTTATTGATACTGATCCTATTTATGCAAAAAAAAAGTTAAATAAAGTTACACAAAATTTCATCCCAAAATTGGTAATTTATGGACACACGCGTCGCTAGCACTATTTACGTAAGATAATGTAACATTTATTAGAACTCAAAATTACTTGAAGTTAGCTAAGTAAGTAATAATAACACTGGAAGCGTGGTCGAAGCGTGAGCGAGACAGAAGATCGGGGCAATGTGCGAGCGCATACAACTACTCTAGCGAGCAGCGGAGTGCCACAGCTGTGACGCGTAAAATACGGACTGAAGAAAATTTAATGAAAAAAAATAACTGAAATTCTTTTTATTTATTTTTTAACTTTAAATTTTTCACACATTTCTACATAAACTGTTAAATTTTTTTCGGTGATAAAAATATAGTGGTGTATAAAATCACTGACCTCACTCAATATAAAAACCGCATAGTTACTTTGGTTTATAAAATCTAAGCATACAAGACATCTGTGATCAGCAATTTTGAACACTCGCGTAAATAACATTCGTTTAGTTTGAAAATTGTGATTACCAAAGTCAATATAATTTAATATAATCCACTCGCTATTTTTATTTCTCCACTACACAGTATCAGTATAGTCTCACAATGGCCCAATCAAGAGGCTAAGTGCTACTCGATTGTACTGCAAAACTTAACTACACAGTATCAAAGCAGCATATTGGTCCTTCGAGACGGATTTTCAAGGTGATGGCGATGGAATGAGAACTTGCCCGAGGGTCCCACACGGAAAAACCTGGGTTGACGGCGTCCAATCACTTCAGCAATTTCCCTAGCTGGTGAAGATGATGGATGATGAAGACTTACCCTTGGGTCCCACACGGGGAAGCCGAGGTTGACGGCGTCAGGTTGCTTCAGCAACACCGGCTGCGGCCACTTCCACTGGCTGAAGACCAGGAAGAACTTGTGCACGAGGGTCGCGGGTAACGCGTTGGGGTATAGTTGGCACGTGCGAGCCACCAGCATGGCCCACGACACGCCGCCGAGGTAGCCGAGCGTGTTGGAGTAGATGCCGTGGCCTGATGAGGAGATAGGGAAATAAATAAAGTTCTAACGACATTAAAACTATAGCAGGCGTTCTATAAAATTGACGAACTGTTTGGAATTTAATTATTATTGACACTATTTATTTTGACATTTAATTCTATTTGTATTATTAATTTATTTGGACATGATGTGTATTTCTTTCTTATTAATACTGCAATTGTTTATGATTAATAAGAAAATATATTGAAAATTTGACATGTAATGAACATTATGAATAAATTTCTTATTCTTATTCTTATACACGCAGGAAGCCTACATTAATTTTCACCAGGGTTCGAAATTATCAAGTTCAAGTTAGGCTTCATGATAATTATCGTAATAATAACATATTCTTTCGAACCCTGATTTTCACACTGCGCACTGCAATTTAGTAAACAAAGCTTGTACCTATTTCTTAACAATGCTGTCAAAATAAACTTGTAAAAATCTGAAGACAGGTGATTCTGTTGCCCAAATAAATTCATTTTTGATTGTTGAAAATTTCAAATTTCATGACGTAAATATAACCAGCCTCGAGGCCTGGCCCATGAGAGGCAAATCAGTTTTGTTTAGCCAGCTTTGAAACTTGAGGCTACAAAATCCAGTCTTTGGGAACTGGCAGTACCGCCTGCGCCGATTAATATTGTAACCCTTAGATGTGTAGTAATTCTTATCAAAATTAATTAATATACACTAATATTATAAATGCGAAAGTAACTCTGTCTGTCTTGCTTTCACGCCTAAACCACTGAACCGATTTTGATGAAATTTGACATAGAGATAGTTTGAGTCCCGGGAAAGGACATAGGATAGTTTTTGTATCACGGTTTTTGAAACAGGGACGCGCGCGATAATGTTTTTCTGTGACAGATAAAATTCTACGCGGGCGAAGCCGCGGCCAGAAAGCTAGTGTTACAATAAATACTTACGCTTGGCCCACAACTTGATGGCTCGCAGCGTCAGCCTAAAATTGTTGATGTTGGGCACGAGGCGAAGTATCTCATCGGTGACGCGGCATCCGTTCAGCGAACGCACGCATTTCTGGTCCAAATTCTTGAGCAGCATATCGTCGCGGAGGTCGAAGGAATCTGGAGAGAGAACATTGTTAAAGCCTGGTCCGTGAGCACGTATAATTTTGTCCAATGACCCCAAGCTACCCATCCTTATCGCTCGCGCGTAATTATATTGCTGTCGCGACTGTGCGACGGGCGCCCGCAGTGAGTGTGCGAGCGCGACAGCAACAAAATTCTACGTGCTCACGGACCAGGCTTTAGATACACAGATCACAGAAACTTAAGGGAGATGTGACAAGGGGGCGGGGCCGGTGTCGCAGCAATATGCCCAAAAACAGAACACATTGCTCGTAACAGCAATGATGACAGCAGCGACGTCATAATGGAATGTAAACAGTTTACATTGCTTGCGTAGCACTAAAGATTATTCGAACGTTGAGTACTGATACCGCAGTGGATAATGAGCACATATTTTGATTACTTTATGTGTGTGAATTTCTAATGCGACACTAATGCCCGTTTTCACCATCAATCCCTAATTTTTAAGTAGCCCCTATGGTAACACATAAAAAGACATTTGTCCATACATAAGGGTCGCTTTTCAAAAAATATAGATTTTTTCCTTTAAATTTTTTCATTAACTCGAAGAAAATAAACTCATTGTCATCATGCCAATAAATGTGAACATATGTGTGCTAGTGACCGAAATGGAAATGGTAAGCTCGTGACCTGGATTTCAACATATAAATGGCAATTTTTACTGACTTCTTTATCAAAACATCTTTGGCTTAGGTATTCATAACATATTATTTACTGAAATAATATGTTATGAATCTAAAAGACAAATAATTAGTATGACACTTATTTCCAAATTCGCAACAGTCTAGAAAAAGTTAAATACACTAACGCCTCGCGCGTAGACGCACAGGGTGACACACGAACCATCAGATAACTCCATTCAACGCTGTGCGTTCGATTTGATGCTTCACTTAAGCAAGTATCGTTTGTGAAAACGAGCGTAATTTGAGTATCTTTAACAATTTGCTTACCAGGTATCTCCTTCAGCGCCAGTCGCGCGAAAAGCAAATCTATCTCAATGCCGTCGAAGTTCATTTTGATTACCGGTACGAAAGCGTCTTCCACCGCTCGCAAGTCTTTGACCTGTAGAACAAACAGATAACATTAGTAATTTGTGCACTACAAAAAGAAGAAAGAAATAAAAGTCTGCAGGGAGACGCGAAAAGCTTAACCGGCGATGAGAAGATGTTCGACCGCTAGACTATTACAGTTAACATACTTGTAAACACGATTTTCCTGTGACACATAAGTATTTAATTTGGCATTTATGAATGTCAAAATGTAATATCTTTTGAGACAAAATTAAGTGAAAGGTCAAGTCGCCAAATCTCAGGTCACCTGGTGCAAAAAAACAGCACAGCAATAAAATAAACCCCTGAATTACCTGCGACTGACTATAGAAATTATTACCACGGTCTCATGCGACCGTTTAGTTTAGGCGCAGACCACCGATTTTTAGTTGGCCGATAGTTCAGTCGGGCAGTTAATCAGTATGGAGATGTATGAAAGTGCGCACATTGGATCGGCCGATTCTTCATACAAATTAGAATCGGGCCAACTTCGACGGACTAAAAGTCTGTAGTCTGCGCCTAGGCTTACAGTCAACAAGTAAAGAAGACTTCAATGGTTCCTTGAAAAACTTGATTGTTTAAAATTGGACAGGGTTTTCTTGGCGTACTGTATACAGTATAACACCCATAAATGGACGTAACCAACCGCTATGGGAGGCAAATCAGATTTGTTTAGCCAGCTTAGAAACTTAGGTTTTGATGGGTGCAAACTGAACTCTAGACGTACCTGCGGCTGCTGCTTCAGCAGTTCGTAGAAGGACTGGAAGTAGTCGGTCCGGTCGATGTGGCGCGGCGCCACGCACAGCGCGTCGATATCGGCGCCGCGGTGATGCACCTGCGAACGAAACGACGATTGTGAGACATCGATTGAGTATCGATTGATAACAAAATAATAATATACAGGTTGTCATATTTTTTAGGGATAGTACATTAGTAGAGCTACCTCCCCTAGCAGTTTGATTCACCCATTTTGGGACACCCTGTATAACTCAAAGGTGACCGANAAAGGTGACTGACTGACATAGTGTTTTATCAACGCACAGCCCAAACCACTGGACGGATCGGGCTGAAATTTGGAATGCAGGTAGATGTTATGACGTAGGCATCCGCTAGTAGGCATACACTGAGGCATGTTCTTGCGGAGCGACTCATCGCGGATCCACTGGCGGACCAGGCGATGTAAGGAGCCCAGCAACTCCATACAAAGATAGGACTATACTAGGAGTCTTTGGAACACTTACCCCGAGCCGGTACGATCCAAAGTTCGCAGGGATTCATCGCGGATCCACTGGCGGACCAGGCGATGTAAGGAGCCCAGCACCATACGAAGCGAGGACTATACTAGGAGTCTTTGGAACACTTACCCCGAGCCGGTACGATCCAAAGTTCGCAGGGATTCATCGCGGATCCACTGGCGGACCAGGCGATGTAGGGAGCCCAGCACCTCCATACTAAAGAAGGACTAAACCAGGAGTCTTTGGACCACTTACCCCAAGCCGGTACGATCCGAAGGTGTATATATTCCCGCCGACGGTCTCCGCCACAGTGGGAGGCATGTTCTTGCGGAGTGACTCGTCGCGGATCCACTGGCGGACCAGGCGATGTAGGGAACCCAGCACCATACAAAGCGAGGACTATACTAGGAGTCTTCGGACCACTTACCCCGAGCCGGTACGATCCAAAGTTCGCAGGGATTCATCGCGGATCCACTGGCGGACCAGGCGATGCAAGGAGCCCAGCACCTCCATACAAAGATAGGACTATACTAGGAGTCTTTGGACCACTTACCCCGAGCCGGTACGATCCGAAGGTGTATATATTCCCGCCGACGGTTTCCGCCACGTTGGGAGGCATGTTCTTGCGGAGCGACTCATCGCGGATCCACTGGCGGACCAGGCGATGTAAGGAGCCCAGCACCTCCATACGATGGTGCATCTCGTCTTCTGACTCAAACACGTTGAAGGGAACGAGGGACTCTTTGAGCTCATTCGTCTTCTCGATGTCGATCGGTTTTGGACCTGTAAAGAAAATTATATGGTGTAAGTTTTTTACTACTCAATTTCGTGACACTATGTTTTTCACGTAACTGGGTAGTTGTGACAGTTAATTAACCAATTATTACAAGATACCACTTCTTTCTAGCTGTCCAAACGCGACTCCTATGGATTTTGTATGGCAAAAAGAAGATCTGTGACTTGACCAGTTCTCGAATACAATTGAATTTTATCGATACTAAAGCTACTATAAATCAAGTTTTATTACGGAAAATTGACAGGTCGGTTTTCAAAGCTAGAATGCAGTGTTTTTAAAAGTAATTTCTTAGAAATGATTCAAAGTCAAAGTCAAAATTTCGTTATTTGATTAGACTAATAAATAGTTCTTAAAAATCGTCATTTTGCTCTTAAGGAGCCTATACATGTCTCATAATCTTTTTACCCTACCAGCGCTTCGAGACCAACATTTGGCAAGTGCTGAGAAGAAGCGCCGCAACAAACTCAGTCACCACTGTCTGCCGGTTAATAATGTCAACTACCCAATTATACGCGGGCGGTTATATCTTCAATCAGCCTGTCCAAACAGTTGCGCTTTGTGCCTGTGGGAACCGCTCTAGTTACGGCGCTAACGTACAATTACTCAATTAATAAAACCCTCAACTAACCTGCCATAGAGATAGCAGAGGTCATGCCCAGCGTCTTGAGGTTCTGCTGGTTCTGGTGCTCGTTGGGCTTGCCCGGCTGGTGGGCGCCCGAGTGGTACTGCGACGCGGGCCACATTCTGGCTCGGCGCTGTCTGGGGAAGTAGCTAGACCGCGGGGTACGACCTGCAGCAATAAGAAATAATCATTAGGTCAGTCTTTCTTGACTTCTTCTTGACCCTTCTCCATGCGCGTATACAGGGTGGAATTTTGAAATGCCACCTGGAGGGAAAGTACTCTTAATACTGTAGATAGAAAATTTTACTGAAAGAAAACATTCCTTTATTTTTGAAAAGAAAGAGAACTGCATTCAAAGATTTTCGAAAATTTTTCGAAAATTCCGTACCATACCATACAATTTCCTGTACATAATTAAAATAATTTAAGATTTCATGGTTTTCCTTTAATTTGATTTATCAAATTTGTTAGAGAAGATTCATTCTAATACTTAACCCTAACGATCGATGTNCTCCATACGAAGCGAGGACCATACAAGGAGTCTTCGGACCACTTACCCCGAGCCGGTACGATCCGAAGGTGTATATATTCCCGCCGACGGTTTCCGCCACGTTGGGAGGCATGTTCTTGCGGAGCGACTCGTCGCGGATCCACTGGCGGACCAGGCGATGTAAGGAGCCCAGCACCTCCATACGATGGTGCATCTCGTCTTCTGACTCAAACACGTTGAAGGGAACGAGGGACTCTTTGAGCTCATTCGTCTTCTCGATGTCGATCGGCTTTGGACCTGTAAAAATAATTTGAATTTATTTGATGTTGTGATACTTTGTATTGGCATTGGATACACACCACTAGTAAATAGACACTAAAAAAAATTGTTTGGCAAAGAGACTTTGATCATGTCACCAATTCTCGAACTCAATTTACTAGTAATTTATTCATAGCTACTAACAATATAAAATTTCACAGCAAATTGGAAACTCTGTTTCAAGTTTTTGTGGATGTGGACAGACGAACTCCTAAAGGTAGCACACAGGTCGTTACTAACCGGCCAATCTGGAAATGATTTGGGGAGGCCTATGTTCAGCAGTGGGAATCTTGTTACAGGATTCGTTCGTTCGTTTCAGCAAAATGACGTCCACTGCTGGACAAAGGCGGAGGCATTAGGGGTGCAGGCTTTCCATAATGAACGGTCCTGCATTGCCCGCAACCAGGTTCTTCCCGCGACCTTTACCAGATCGTCGGTCCACAACCATTATAGGATTCCTATGCCTGAAATGATGACGATGATGAACCAACCTGCCATAGAGATAGCGGAGGTCATGCCCAGCGTCTTGAGGTTCTGCTGGTTCTGGTGCTCGTTGGGCTTGCCCGGCTGGTGGGCGCCCGAGTGGTACTGCGACGCGGGCCACATTCTGGCTCGGCGCTGTCTGGGGAAGTAGCTAGACCGCGGGGTACGACCTGCAGCAACAAGAAATAATAATTAGGTCAGTCTTTCTTGAATTCTTCTTGACCCTTCTCCATGCGCGTATACAGGGTGGAATTTTGAAATACCACCTGGAGGGAAAGTACTCTTAATACTGTAGATAGAAAATTTTACTGAAAGAAAACATTCCTTTATTTTTTAAAAGAAAGAGAACTGCATTCAAAGATTTTCGAAAATTTTTCCAAAATTCCCTACCATACCATACAATTTCCTGTACATAATTAAAATAATTTAAGATTTCATGGTTTTCCTTTAATTTGATTTATCAAATTTGTTAGAGAAGTTTCATTCTAATACTTAACCCTAACGATCGATGCAATAAAAGTTCGAATCCCAGATGTGGCAAGCAAATTTTTGGAAATCTTTGAATGCAGTTCTATTTCTTTTCAAAAATAAAGTTTTCTTTGAGAAAAAATTTCTATCTACAATATGAAGAGTACTTTCCCTCCAGGTGGCATTACNATCGATGTAATTCCACCCTGTATAGCGGGGGGGTCGGGGTGGCACGCCCCCGGAATGGTCTGGTGCCCCCTAAGATGTTGGGATACTGATTTGAAGATGATTTTTGATAGTACTAACTCATGAGCTAATACTAATCGTAGCTGACATGGCATAACAGGGGCCCACAGGCCCCCCCTAAAAGAATTCACGCGAATAGTGGTTGAAAGGTACAGCTCTTGTGCCCAGGATGTGTGATCAGGAAAGAAACAAAGTAGTAAGCGTAGGAGAGTCCCGTAGCGCTAAGGCAAAGGTCCGTAATACAAAAAGTACCTATTCGGTAATAAAGATAATTTTAAGTGCTAATTACATAACCCGAAGTCGCAAACCGTGAAGCACAAGCGAAGTCAAGTAATTACGCATGTCTTCCCACAGATCATTGTGATTTCCTGAAGGAGGTGACAACGTCTCCGCTATGATCTGATATCGGTATTTAAAAGCGAAATATTGTATGTAGTTGGGAGTGAATATACAAAGTCATTGAGGAGAATTATCGAATAGATACATTTCATAACGAAATAATTAACTATAGCTTTTTAGTAAAAAGCTATAGTTAATTATTTTAGCGGTAAAAAGTTTTTACCGCGGAATTTCAGTTAAACCATAAATCAAACTCTCAGCTTTCGCTCTTGTAATCCCTAAACAACGTGTACAAGAACGTGAAGGGACAAACTTTCGGCAAGTCACGTTGTTCGCTGTACCCGCGCTAACAGACTAGCAATTTTTCAAAGAAATAAAGTGAAATATTGCCACCAAACTTTTTATCAGTTAGATATTTTTAGAAACCTATTTTTGGATACAGTGAAATAATGTAAGACACTGAACTTAACTTTAGTTCGACAAGATTTTTATCATATGTTTTATCATATCTTAAGCAATGTATTTTGTAATGTAAGGATGACATTTCAAATGTAAAATATAATGATCAACTAACCTTGAAGTATCTATGATGCTAATAACTGTATTGTTAAAGAACAAGAAATAATTCTAAAACATTTTTGTCATTTTAGATTTTCTTGAGTCAGGTTTGAAATATCAAGATAAAGATAAACATATTCTTATATTTTAAAACCAATATAAAACTTTCTTCAACACAAAACCACATTCAGTTTCCTACATTAACTAGCTTTATCAATATTACTTTACAAAAGGCTTTATTTAACAAAAGGGGCTCCTTGTGGGCTTTTTAAATAACAATAGCCACAGCTGATAAGGATAAAAAAAGCTAAAAATACTACATGTCATGAAAAGAGGTATTTGAGAAAGGTTTACTTTTGTTTGGTCAGAGATTTTTTAAATTAATTAATCAATAATACCTAAGCAATCTTGTTAAATGTTTTATAAAAAAATCACCTAACATACTTTAGTTTTAGTGGAATCAACAAATTAGAATAAACAATGTGTTTATGAGTTTAGGTTTGTTAGAATCTAATAGGTAAGATAATCTAATCTAAATAGACTTGAATTTGAAAGATTTTCATTATTTTATGGAAAACAGACAGAACTGTATTTTTGCACAATTTAAAATTTACAATAAGTTTAATGATTTTAAATTATTTTTAAGCACTTTTTGGCTCAACTTGATTAAAGTTAGACAAATCATATTGGTTTAGTATCATCATGCTAAGATTTGAGAGTCAATTAATGTTTTACACTTCTAAAAAGACCAATTAGAAAATACCAAAGTCTCAAAATCTTTATTCTCAAACTAGTACACTTACCAGAAATCATATTTAATTGATGATCTCTCAAGGGTCACAATGAAGCCTATTTGCACATTACTTATAAACACTCAAGCAACACCTATGCAAAATAATCACTATACAAAGAGCCCTTCACCTGTTCTTAGAACAGTGTTATCCCAACCAAAGCTGGGAGTAAACTAACTGCTCCTTCAACCAAATACTTAAGGGCTTGAGCTTTACAAATGGTACTTAAGGTAGAACACTGGAAGGGGTAAGTGAACAATAAAGAGGTAATACAATAACAATAGGTGCTGATAAAGAAAACACCACATGCTGTTGACTAAGATTAACTTTTGGTCTGTGAATTGACTGTAGTAGGCTTTTATAAGAAATCTTGTTTTTTTTTTAATCTAAAATTCAGAATTAAGATGTGTAGAATCAACAAAATAAATGTGTTCAATACAATTTGGATTAAGTGGTTGATACAATTGGGTAGTAGGTAGGATTTTAATATTTTAAATTCTATTTAGATTCTAAATAGATTTTTTAATTGAAAGATTTTCACATTATTTTATTAAGAACTAGCTTTCCGCCCGCGGCTTCGCCCGCGTGGAATTTTGTCTGTCACAGAAAAACTTTATCGCGCGCGTCCCTGTTTCAAAAACCGGGATAAAAACTATCCTATGTTCTTTCCCGGGACTCCAACTATCTCTATGCCAAATTTCATCAAAATCGGTTGCGAGGTTTAAGCGGGAAAGCGTAACAGACAGACAGACAGACAGAGTTACTTTCGCATTTATAATATTATAAATATATAAATAATAAATAATATATTATATATATAATATATAAGTTGGGATCAAAAAGAGAGCTATTTTTTGTAGAATTTAAAATTTACTTTAAAATAAGTAGGTATGTTGTTTGCAATTATTTTCAATCAATTTTTCTTGGAAGCTTGACAACAATTTTATAAACTACACTTACCAGAAATCATATTGAACTTAGGATCTCTCAAGGGTCACAATGAAGAGCACTTTATTTATAAACACTAACACAACACCTATCTCACAGAGCCCTTCAGCTGTGCTTAGAACAGTGTCACCCCAACCAAAGCTGGGAGCAAACTAACTGCTGCTTCAACCAAATACTTAGGGCTTGAGCTTTACAAATGGTACTTAAGGTAGAACACTGGAAGGGGTAAGTGATAACAATAAAGAGGTAATTCAATAACAATAGGTGCTGATAAAGAAAACACCACATGCTGTTGACTAAGATTTAATTTTGGACTGTAGTAGGTCAATAAATTTATAAGCAATCTTGAATATGTATTTTTAAATTACAAAATTACCTGTAATTAAAATAAAAAATGTGTTTCATATAATTTAGATTATGTGTTCGAGACAATTTGGCAGGGTTATCTAATATTTTGAATTCTATTTAGATTCTAAACAGATTTTTATTGAAAGATTTTTATTCTAGGCATTATTTTATTGATTTAGTATCCATCATGTTCAGATTTAAAAGTTTATTCATTTATTTGAAACTCAATGAATGTTTGTGACTTTAACACATAAAAAATAGACCTTGTTAAATTATCAAAAGTTCCAAGAAACAAAATATTGTCAGTAGAATAGGTAAAAATCTTAATAAACTTACCAGAAATCATATTGAATTGAGGATCTCTCAAGAGTCACAATGAAGCCTACTTGCACTTTACTTATAAACACTCACTGAACACTTAGAACAGTGTTATCCCAACCAAAGCTGGGAGCAAACTAACTGCTCCTTCAACCAAATACTTAGGGCTTGAGCTTTACAAATGGTACTTAAGGTAGAACACTGGAAGGGGTAAGTGATAACAATGAAGTGCTAATTCAATAACAATAGGTGCTGATAAAGAAAACACCACATTCTGTTGACTAAGATTTACTTTTGGACTGTAGTAGGTCAATAAATTTATAAGCAATAATCTTGTATATTTTTAAATTAGAAAATTACCTGAATGATTAAAATAAAAAATGTGTTTCATATAATTTAGATTATGTGTTCGAGACAATTTGGCAGGGTTATCTAATATTTTGAATTCTATTTAGATTCTAAACAGATTTTTATTGAAAGATTTTTATTCTAGGCATTATTTTATTGATTTAGTACCTATCCATCATGTTCAGATTTAAAAGTTTATTCATTTATTTGAAACTCAATGAATGTTTGTGACTTTAACACATAAAAAATAGACCTTGTTAAATTATCAAAAGTTCTAATCAACAAAATATTGTCAGTAGAATAGGTGAATATTAATAAACTTACCAGAAATCATATTGAATTGAGGATCTCTCAAGGGTCACAATGAAGCCTACTTGCACTTTACTTATAAACACTCACAGAACACTTAGAATAGTGTTATCCCAACCAAAGCTGGGAGCAAACTAACTGCTCCTTCAACCAAATACTCAGGGCTTGAGCTTTACAAATGGTACTTAAGGTAGACACTGGAAGGGGTAAGTGATAACAATAAAGAGGTAATTCAATAACAATAGGTGCTGATAAAGAAAACACCACATGCTGTTGACTAAGATTTAATTTTGGACTGTAGTAGGTCAATAAATTTATAAGCAATCTTGTATAATGTAGTTTTAAATTACAAAATTACCTTAATGAGTAAAATAAAAAATGTGTTCATATAATTTAGATTATGTGTTTGACACAATTTGGCAGGGTAATCTAATATTTTGAATTCTATTTAGATTCTAAATAGATTTTTAAAAATTGTCATTCTAGGCATTATTTTATGGATTTAGTATCATCCATCATGTTCAGATTTAAACATCATGTTCAGATTTTAAAAGTTTTTTCATTTATTTGAAACTCAATGAATGTTTGTGACTTTAACACAAAAAATAGACCTGTTAAATTATCAAAAGTTCTAAGAAACAAAATATTGCAGTAGAATAGGTAAAAATCTTACTAAACTTACCAGAAATCATATTGAACTTAGGATCTCTCAAGGGTCACAATGAAGCCTATTTGCACTTTACTTATAAACACTCACAACACCTATCCAAAATAATCACTTTACACAGAGCCTTTCAGCTGTGCTTAGAACAGTGTCACCCCAACCAAAGCTGGGAGCAAACTAACTGCTCCTTCAACCAAATACTTAGGGCTTGAGCTTTACAAATGGTACTTAAGGTAGAACACTGGAAGGGGTAAGTGATAACAATGAAGTGCTAATTCAATAACAATAGGTGCTGATAAAGAAAACACCACATGCTGTTGACTAAGATTTACTTTTGTAACTGAGAATTTATTGTAGTATGTAGTTAATAATTTGAACATTTAATACAATTTGGATTCAGTGTTTGATACAATTTGATGAATTCTATTTAGATTCTAAAGAGATTTTTGTATTGAAAATTTTTAATTAGAGGCATTATTGTATGGAGCACAGACAAAAATATATTTTTTGAAGGTACATATTAAAATTCACTTGTTTGATGCTTTCAATTATTTAAATACTTTTTCTTTGAAGTTAGATAAATTAAAGTTAGAAAAAAGTTACACAAATCAAATCATATTGATTTTGTAACATCATGTTCAGATTTGAAAGTCAATGAATGTTTGTGATTTTATTCTATTTAAAGACTTGTATTTTATTTTATTATTTTTAAATTAGGTTTAGTTTAGTTAATTAAGTAGTTTCTTTAAATATTATTATGTAGTTGTAATATTTTATTTTAGCAAATAAATTTACTTAAAATTAAAAATAGGTAGGTACCTACCTAGTAAATTATCAAAAGTTCCAAAAGACAACACTGTCAACAATCTTTAGAAACTAAACTTACCAGGAATCATATTTAACTGGGATCTCTCTCAAAGGTCACAATGAAGAGCCTATTTGCACTTTATTTATAAACACACACACAACAGCTGATACAAATAATCTCAACCAAAGCTGGAAGAAAACTAACTGCTACTGCTTCAACCAAATACCTAAATAGGGCTTGAGCTTTAGCACAAAATATGGTGCTTAGCTTATGATAGAACACTCAAAGGGGTAGTTAATTAATAGTAAAGTGATCATTGACAAGTACATTTCTAATGACCAAATGCGTAACATTAATGGATTTTAAGTATGCAAATCATCTTAGTAATCCTTCATGACTAACTGTCATTAGTGAACCCCTAATTATTGTGGTAGGTATTTATTACGCCATTGTAGTTACGAAGACTTAATGGAATTAACGAGTGTTTTGGCTTAAATGGGTTATTATTAAGATACAACTCAAACATTAGCAACGTAGAAAGCAGTTATTCGGATAGATTCATGGTTCATTCAACCTACTTTTTTATTTTATTACCACGAATACAAACGAATCGACTTCCCGAAGAACATCCCAGCTGCACAGTAAATTAACTATTTCACCCTCCATCAATTCAATTTAAACCTTGGCTGAGCTACACAGAGATGAAAACTTCAAAACATCGAGAAAATTGCAGTAACAATGAAACCATAGTTGAAATCTTTTGTTACTCCCCGTGTGACGATTTGTAAGGTCACAACGTAGGTAAATAAGTGAATTGCATATTATTGATCTTGTAAATCCTTTAGATGAAAGATGTATACTTAGAAATAGTCGATATCTAACCTGATTATTATGAAAACACAGGAAACTTTATGGCCAAGGAAAGCTCACGTTGCTTTTTAATTCAGCAGTTACATCTACGACTGCACAGTAAATACATAAAATATATAGAATCAAAACATTACTTACCAAAGGAAGTAGTCGTATATTACATCTCACGATAAATAGCACAAACAACTAATTCAACTCATAATAAAGGAAAGAAATAAACATTAATTTGCAAACAAGCACCCAACAGTCGCCAACAACAAGGCAGCCATTTTCTACAATATGGCGCTTGCGCGCCCAACTTGCCATTGCCAAAAATCATACTTCTATGTTGCTACTAAATGAGTAAAAAAAATACTATTTAGTGTTACAAAACTCCAGAAGGTGACGTTTTGATCGCATTTTGATTGATCTTTATTTTATTCAGGTACGCTTTCTGTTCTTTTTATCTAATTTTATTGTTGCGAAAACGCGATGCTTCATTATAGTATAACTCTGAAACACTTGGGAGACGAAGTTTGTCTAAAGTTACCTTAAAACAACAACAGTTCTAGCACGGTCTAGCAGTAGTTGTTACAAGAACAAGACTATTGATTTACAAAAAACTTGCATTATCCTACTTCTTACTAATATCCTACTTCCTACTAATATTATAAATGCAAAAGTTTGGATGTCTGGATCATCTGGATGTTTGTGATGTTTGTTACTCTTTCACGCAAAAACTGCTGAACGGATTTTGATGAAACATTACAGTATTGTTGTTTATAACTCAGAATAACTTATAGGCTATATTTATTTATGACGATCTGTGACAAACTAAATTTCGCGGGCGAAGCCGCGGGCGGAAAGCTAGTATTTTAAGTAAACGTTTTTAAAAAAATTTACTATTTCATACACTTTAGAAAAAAAAAACTTGAACGCATGATGGGTTCATGGGTGCGTTCATAGCATTCGTTATTTTTGCGCATGTCCACTGGCAGTTTTTTTCAGTGACGTATCCTCGTCGTATCACAAAACTCCGTTGATATTGTTCACATATCACTATCTCGTTTTATGTGATACGAAAAGAAAGGGATTGATAGAGAGCCGGTTGATGTTTTCGTGTCAGCCTTGTGCCCATTTACGAGGAGTTGGTAAAATCCGCCATCTTGAGAGTGAATTCAAGAATGTGAGGACTTTTATCGGAGTTATGTGAATATCTTAAATAATTTTACTATTAAATGGCCCACTATTTCGTAGCCGTATGATTTATAATAGTTTAAACTAGCCGGTCGCGTTATATAAATCGTGTGGCGTAGTGATAAAGGGCTGATACGCCGAATTCCTGCTTAGTGTTTATGTGACAGGAGAAGACACCGTAAGCTTTCTAATAGTTTTTTGCGTGTCTATATTAAAGTCTATTTCCGTTTTCCATCTCGACGATCGTTAGCATATCGTGAAAGTGTTATTAGTTTATAAATCTTATAATTCGGGCTGTCGCTGTAGAGTTTCGCGATGTATTTTTCTGGTGGAAAATGCGGTTAGATGGGCGTTGTTGGTCGTTCCTTGGTGCTGTGTATCCGTGCTGGTGAGGGTCGGGGGCGGTCGGGCGAGGGGACCCCGCGGAGGATGCGAGAGGTGACGGCGGGCTAGGTGTTTGTAAAGTGTTTGACCTGGTGAACTTGCAAAGATGTCGACTACGATGCGACCAACGCTGCAGACTGTCCCGGAGTCGCTCCCGGCGGACCATGTGACGAGTCCGACGCCGGCGCCCCCCACGACTACGGCAGCGTCGGCTCCGGCCAGGGAGAGGCCCCTGTTTTCGGTGAGTCAACTTTTGCTAGCACAGATTCTATGTTTACTATGTTGGTGTGAGTTTCACAGGCCATAACACAGATTTTCATGAAGCATTTTGGTATTGAGATAAAGTAACCCTATGATAATTCTTTCATTCATTTATTATTGTTTACTTTGATGCTACAAAATTTTACTACCTAAGTGGAAAAGTTACACAGCTGAATATTCAATTAAAAATGTGAAAAATCAACCTATGCCAGAATGATTAAAGTTTCATTACTGTTACGTATGTACAGTAGTCTTTCATCAATATGTGGAAAATAATTGAGCAACAAACCTAGATCTGAGGCTAGAAAGTATGGTCAGTGTACCATGTCAGTTCGTCTTAGCCAGCTAAGAACACTCTGTTTAGTATGATCTATTTCATAGCATATTTTCAGGGTAACAAGATCATCTGCGCTTGTTAAAGACGTTTAAAATTGTTTTGGACATAATATTATTTACGTAACGAAGTCAATTATTTCACTTGATTATTACAGCACTCAATGCTTTAAAAACAATTGTGTTGTAATTACTTTAAATGCAATACTTATATGAATCCAAATTAGTGAATGAAACAAACAAAGATATTTAGTTAAAAAAAACTACAGGCAATTAAGAAACTGCAAGTGTTGTCCACTGAATGATGTAAGAACTTAAATAATTTAATTTTGTCATACTCAAAAGTAATTAGATATTTAGTAGACATTTCAATACCTAATTACTGCCTTAATTAAGGTAATATAATCAATTTTCTTTATAACAATGGCACTTATTGTTACTTATTTATAAGTTCCAAGAACACAAACATTAGTGCTGTAGTTTCTCCTAGTACCTATCAGTTCTGTTGCCTTCTATTGAAATGCCAAAATATATTTTAATGTGTTCTGTCATTTCAATGCACATTTTTGTGTACATAAGTAACATATTTTATTGATTCAGTTAAATATTATGGAATTGTTAATCGTTTTTCTCCTACCTACTGCAAGTAATTCAGTCTTTCCTGCTTTATAGTAGTTACTGAAGTACATATTAGATTTAATATACAATGTATAGGTATTTCACATCCAACCGATTGTGGCTGGTGTAATTTTTTATCTTACTTGTCAATTACTCATAATACATTACCTATATTTCAAATGTGTTATGTTTATGAAACTCACACCTAAATACAATGCAAAATTTATTATTAGTAATAATTAAAATGTTCAAGAAACTAGGTGAAAATACAATATTGAATGTTTTGCAGAACTACATAGCATATCAATACATTATTCAAAAACAGATGTGCAATGTGTCATCTACATTTAAAAATATCCAACACATTATAATGTGTTACTGGTGTTTGTGTAGAGAAAATTTTGTATTCATGTTTTGTTGAATACTCGTTGATTTTAACATTCAATATCACAGTATTTCACTGTTCACAGTAAGATTTTAAAAAGGGTAGTTTAGTAAAACCTTACCCAAAACATAGTACAACAAGTTACCTAGATATCTTTTATTCATAACTTGAATGCAATGACGAACACATTATCAAATTATTTCTGTGAACGATGAAATACATATTTGGGGAATTTATGCAATTGCTTTCCGCCTTATTTGCAATCTGTGTGTTTTTGTGTAAAGTTGCAATGTTTTATATTATGTGTGCCACGTTCGGCTGGTGTATTCATCAGCATATTATTATTCTATTTGGAATCATATTTGTTTAAACATTTGCTATAAGTAAGCTTTTTGATACAGTGTTCTGCTGTAATCAAAAATATTGAAATCTCTATAACATTATTTAACTAATAAAAAATAATGCCTACAGTTATCAACCCTAAAGATGTTTGATCAGCCAAGGTATTTTGGATATTATCCTTTATGGAATATTGACCCTTGTTTATTCCTAACCTAAGGAGAACTTTCCTGTAAATAAGCTCACATTATACCTACGTGTATTAAGATATACCATAGGACACTGTTTACGCTGAAACGGAGGCTATCTCATGCATAAACTACGCAGGGTTGGCGCACACTAACGTAATAATAAGGCCGCCATACCCTTACGTTGTGAGCTTATTTTCCACTTTGTGGAATAATGTAATTTATTCTTATTTGTTTCTGTATTAGAATCTAATTTTATCACTTTTGGGTCTCTTACGTTGATTACTGTGCCTTAAAAAATAATATCTAACCATATTATTATGAGTATAGATAGGTATTTAAACTACTCTATCCCAATATAAACTGATTTTATCAGGTTCCTCTCTTGATATTGCCATTGTTTATACAATTTTTTCTCACGTGGTATATTCACACTTTATGAGTAGCCAGTGTTATTGTAAAATAACACGTTGGACGCCACGCGGCTCACCGGTGAGCCACGAACAATAAAAAATCTATTGTGTATCTAGTCACCTACAATGACTTAAAAAATCACTTGCAATTAACACGCGACCATTTATTATTATTTTACAACTAAATGTAAGTGAATGAGTATAACTTA